AGGAGAACATGTTTGGGTTATTGACCTGAGAAAATATGGTGTGATTGTAAGAAAGGCGAAGGAACCTAGATCTTATTATATTGATATTCAAGGGTTTACTTATAGACGTAATAGATGGCATCTGATTCCAGCGCCTTTCAATTCAAATAAACCTAATGTAAAATCAACAAATGTTGAACAAGAGTCTGAAGTTTGTTCAGAAATGGGCTTTGGTCAGAAATTTTTAGAAGGGGAAGAAAACAGTAAATCTGATTGTAATAATAAGTGTCAGGGAGATGAAGAAATAACAACAAATTTAAATAATAATAATAGTTTATTAGAAAGTAGTGATAATGAAAGCAATAGTAATGAACAGTTTTCCAGTGTTACAGAGGATAATAATTGTATAATTCAAGAAGAGTTGATGAAACGTAGAATAAGAAAGAGACCTAGATATTTAAGTGATTATGATTGTGAATTATAAAGAAATCTTGAGAGGAAGGATGTTGTGGTAGGGCAACACTAATGACAGCCCGCGCATATTATATTGTCGGTTAGAGATTATCTATGGAACTATGGAGGCTGGCTTGGCTAGGTTGTACTTTGTGAGTAGTGTGTTTGTTACAATAATAATAAAAGCTAATTCCTTGAATGTCGAGTTAATCATTTCTACACATCCTCTTGTTGTTGCTAACTCTAGTGAATCGTTGAGTAGTTCCATCCTCACTGTCCTACTCTCTAGCATGGCTCTTATCCATCTTACTGTAGTGGAGTCAATCTCTTTATGGACTAATCCTCTTACTAATGTCTCGGTGGGCGTGTTATCGAACGCTCCTTCCACATCAAGAAAAGCAACGAGTGCTATTTCTTTATCGTCCAGTGCCTTTTCAACCTTGTCTATAAGGTTTAGTAGGGCAGTCTCCGTAGATCTGCCGCTTCGGTAGGCGTGCTGGGTATCATGTTCGGGTTTATTGATGAGACTCCCTTGTCTGATATAATTGTCTAATACCTTCTCCATGGTCTTCAGAAGAAATGACGTAAGGCTGATTGGCCTGAAGGACTTTGGTGATGTATAGTCCTTCTTTCCAGCTTTAGGTATGAACACGACTTTCACCTTAGTCCACGGATCTGGAATGTATCCCCAGGCCAAACTGGCTCTGAAGATTTTTACCAGATAAGGGATGATATTGGCGGCACCCCGCTGTAAAAGCACCGGGGCTACGCCGTCAATTCCACCAGATTTAAAAGGTTTGAACGAGTTAATGGCCCATTTCACTATTCCAGGCCCAATAACGAGAGCGGCTCTTCTCCAGTCCTCTGGTAGAGGCCTTCGAAGAGTGATCGCTACTGCATTATCAGTAGATCCTGGAAAATGGGTGATAGCCATTAGCTGCAAGGTTTCCTTCTCGTTAGTCGTGAAGGACCCGTTCGGTCTTTTAAGGAGACCTAAGGGATTACAGTGTGCCTTTGCCATGATCTTATGAAGTCTTGCTCCTTGAGGCGTATTAGTTATCTCCTCGCAGAACTTCCTCCATGATGCACGCTTGGCTTTTCTAATTTGTTTACTGTATTCGTTTAGGGCCATCCTGTAGGCATCCCATTCATGGGTGATTTTGGCCCTATTGAATAACTTTCGTGTTTTCTCCCTAAGCTTTTTCAGCTTTGAGTTCCACCACGGTACTTTCCGTTTGGATGATTTGATTTTGGGTGTACAGCTAGCCTCGAAGGCATCTTTAATGCCATTAGAGACCGCCTCTACCGCAAATTCAATGCTCTCAACCGTTCTAATGCATTCAGGAATTACTTCTAAGTTCCGTACAAGGCGTTTGTTGTATTCATCCCAATCGGTGCGCTTAGGATCCCTAAATGCACTAATGCATAAGAGATAACCCCCATACCATTATAGACCCCCCCAGGTACCGGTTCAGTTATAGCGCGTGGAGAAAATCTCTCATTTTGACGCCTCTAGACACGATGACGTCCATCTGGACCTCTTAAAGCTATTCTGTTCTTATCTGAGAACAGTACGTTCTTCCCTCCCTTTACAGTCCAGTCAGCATATTTTCGCGCTAAACCAAGTCTAGCTCTACGGTGCTGTGGGAACCATTGTGTTATCTCATGTCGAAGTGCATCGATGTCGGCCTTGACCTAGCCTGTGGGTGTATAAGCCTGTCTGATGGCATCTCGTACCGTAGTTCGAGGTACACAGTGTGCGAGCGATGTGACGCTGGTTATACCTCGCATCAGCTAAAGCCACTACCCTAGCTACGTCAGTTGCATCGAGTGACATTTTTTGCAATCACAAAGATTTAGCAAACACTATAATTTCAAATGTTTAAATATTCGCCCACTATGATAGAAAATAACAGGAAATGTTAAATCGGTAACACAACAGCAACAATGTAAAACAACGACTAAATTCCGAAAACCCTTCGGTGACACAAATTTAGGAAATAAATAACGGTATAAGTGTTTTATTTATTGCTACAGTACCCACTTAACAAAAAAACAAAACGGTTGATAAGCCATAGTTGACGGAACCAAACAGGGTGATGAATGTGGGCGGTTAATTGTGCCTGTGAGTGTATTTATTATTGTTGTGGCTTATTTAAATTAAAATAAACAATTACAAGTACTTTGGCAATCAGAGTATAATACCAATAATTACGTCGTACATCGTAAAGAGTCTGCAAATTTTAGTTTATGAACCTATCATTAAATTGGTCTAAAGTGACATTGACATATTTTGTAAACACTGTGTTTATGATATTTTGAGCAAAAAATATTTAAATTCTCGTTTTATTAAGGCAAAACCTTTAAATATAAAATTCACTTTTCAAAAAATAAGTAAAAGTCCAGCAAAATGACTCATGCATATTATGCCGACGCAATGAACAAGTCGAACCGCCGAATCCGGATGTGGTACCAGAATAACCTAATGGGTGTGTTACGGGACCGTAAGGAGCGGCAAGCGAGAGAGGTGGATGTGTCGATAGCGCTCGCTAAAGAATTATTGAGGGTAAAATAATATTAATTTATAACAAGTTCCATGTATTCGGTTCTAATAGCATAAATCTTGACACGTACTGGCATACAAACGACCCTTCACCGTACATCCTCAGGAGTTGTTAGAACTTATATTACATTACCAACGGTTTAAGTTGAGGTGCTCATGCAAGTCCAGATCTACGAATTTTTTAACGGGACTTCCCTGACGCTCTGTGAAGCCGAAGAACTGTGACGAAGTCTGAACTTTATATTATCGTAGCCAATAATGGATATGAAGCGATTTGTAAAGCTCACTCTTATTATTATAGTAAATAGGTATATTATAATGATGATTTTGGCACCCCCCTAACACTAGCGCCCCAAGGAAGTGAAGTGCTCAACCTTCCTACCTTACTTTCATTCATTATTTTAGGACTAGATCTAGTATTCATGAAAATTTACTATCGATTTCTATAATACCTACCTACATACTTCTTGGTTAATTAATACTCCAATATCTTTATGTAGGCTTTTAAATTGGTTAAATTACAGCGATATGACGAACCAGTAGAGAAACCTGTGGAAGTACCAGCACGAGAGCTGGTGCCCGCCGAAGATGACAGCCTCATGAAACCAATTGAACCAGAAATCTTGCACTTACTCTATGGCAGCACTGAAAAAGGAGCCGCGCATAAATATCTAACAGCAAGGAATAAAAAGGCACCTGAAGATAAGTTAGTAGTACATACCTTATACGTACGTTAGTAGTATATACATGGTGTCGCTGTCCAATCTTACACGTATGAACGCACGCGAGCACGTAGTGTGCACGCGTACACGCGAACGCATGCGTAGTGTTAGCGTCCCAGTTGAAACGATTGTCACGCGTAGAAGTGTTTCGTGGTGAAACTACGAATTTAGATAGTGCGCGTTCCCTTGAATTGAGAATGACAAATCCATGGCATTCGAGAAATACGAAATACCAGAAAACTATATACAGCGAAATTCGGATCTGACGTTACAAATGTAGATTACAATATGACATGTAATATACGATTCGGTTTTAAGATACTTCTTCCGTCTCACGACGAGCTGGGACTATGGATGGCAGCAGAAGCAGGCGCGCATGCGGTCACGTGACGTGAACCACGGCCGATGCGCCATCTTGCGGGACACGTTCTACCGTAAGAATAACCTCGCGCCCGACCCGCCGCACTACGCGCAGCCGGCTGGCGGTGAAGTCTCCGTATGCAGCGAATACGCTTGCAATGCCACCTAACTGCTACTGTAGCCCGGTTACCGAACAGAGAGAACCCGGTATTGCATATCTATCACTCGTACGTAAATATTACTATTGCGCTCGCAGTTGCTTATAGCCAATTTTGTCATAGTAAAGTGAACCTAAAATGTTTACGATATTTATCAGTGGATACAAAGGTACAAAGGAAATTCTCTCCGTTCGGCGACCGGCGAAGGCAGGAGAAAATGGACACAGACTCTAAAGAATTCATCATCAGCCCTGTTACGTCCCTACTGCAGGGGCTCATGCAGGGACGGAATAGTCACGTAGCAAAAGTAGCAAATACTACGGGCCCCGCGCAATTGGGAGCCTCACTATGGTTTAGAGCCGATAAATTAATTCTTCCAGTCAGTGTTAAAGAATGCAAGAAATAAAATAAGCCACGCTTTTGACTAATCTCATATTTTTAAGTATAAACAAACAAAACTGACAAATAAAACTCGAGTACATAATGACTCTTGTTTCTATAGCCATAAGGTGTAAAATACAAAGTATTAGATGTCCTCACTCTCTCAGCGAAAATTGGGCGCGTAGATATTGATGGATGGTATCAAGCAGGTAAGTTCACATTTGCCGCTCTTTAAAATTCAGCACTCTGCGTAAGTACATCAATGAGCCACACCAGTTGTATCTTACAGCACCGCTATCAATAGATCTCTGTAATATTTCAGATGTAAGTTCTGCAGATAATTGCCTTTTGTTGTACAGGATGAGGTCACTGTAGCATCCTGTACAACAAAACGCAGATCGCGGTAAGATAATACAGTATAGTCGTCTGTGGGTAGCGATACGTAGTTTTTTTGACGTTTACACAATAACTATATCATAGCCCGTTTCTTCGTGCCTTAGGGACAGACTACACATATTTATGATCTCATACAGTCTCATCAGAATATTATAAAAATAGTCAGCAATAGATTTTGAACTGTAACTTTTACAAGTAGTAGTACTTTGTACAATAAGGTTTAAAATTAATTTTGTATCACCTGATGTGCTATGAATTTAATTTCGTTAAAATTTTACTGGCCCAATACTTTATTTACATAATAGAAAATAACTGAAAATCTTTACGATACCGCCCAATGATAGACAGTTTAAAGTAACTAGTAAACCTTGAATAATATTTATACAATAAATAACTAAATAATCATTTGGCTTTTACAAATAAAATAAAACAATTTTTATAGCAAAAAACATATATTTTATAATTTTATTATTTACAATAGTTCAACTTTTATTTACATATTAACAACAGAAAGTGTACCTCTAACTGTAAGGCCACATCTAACTGTTTTAATGGGAATTTATTAAAAATAATAAAAAAATGATATACAGAATTATAACTGTTTCAATTTCACATCGACACTGTCGAACGAAACACTAGCATGTTTCAATGGTTGAATCAGTTCTATCTGGGAAGCAATATGTCCTACGCTACCTATATAAAAATATGAACATGGGAAGTTGTAACAATGCCATTAGAATTATATATAAATTATATTGTATCCATCCATTGAAACACGATAATCAATTGGATCAATACTCAAATGCTACATTAAAATTAATTAACCAGCAAATCATCAACAACATTCGCTCGCTCCTAACAAGTCGCTAAGAAAATTATATTATAAAAATTAATAATAATAAATATGAGACGTGTTTTGTTCTTTCTAGTTCATATTTGACATATTTATTTACAATCATTTATCAGTCCGTAAAATTGTGGAACCACTTTTACCAAAAATTCGTCTACATACATGTATTGTGCAAAATAAGATATATTTAATTCTTTCATCTCTTTTGGCGTCATGTCTTTCTACACAATATTAAATAAAAGCTATCCAAGTACACACTGTCGCATCACAATCATAATAATTAATTTACAATAATACAGGTGGAATTTACAATATTTAATATAAAAGTAAATTTAGTTAATAAGAATTATAAATTAAATATTTACGGTTTTCCAAATTATCCGTTTAAATATTTGACAATGTGTCCATATGCATGTTACATTCTATATGGTCTTGAAGACCTCGAAAGTAATAATAAAAAACAATGTTTTAATGTCATGTGAGAATTTTCAAATCTTGGAGAAAGAAACTGTTATAAAAAAGGTTAAAATATTTCTAATTGCTTTCTTTTTTTAGTTGGTAAATTCATTGATCATTGAAGTTATAGGCCTTCCTTAAGAATAGAATCACACAGAGAGAAAACACCATAACCCATCACGCGGGCCCAGAGCGGATTGGTGGGTGCAAACAACTTTTGACACAGCCGGGACTAACTGCTTAACATGGCTACGGTATCACATCTAAAGACTCGCTATAATAAGTGTTCAGCCACCAATTTATTTTTAGTAATATTTGCATATGGTAACATTTATCAGTTGATGTGATGATAATGATCAATGAGAGTAGAGATCACATAAACACATCACTAAAGAAAATTAAATAAATGAGATCGCTTGCATTTCAAGAGTACAACGCATGGAATAAATATATAAGATATTGACTTTATTCCACGTGTAGAATATAGAAAAGATATTCTATAGAAATAGAGTAGACTTTAGTAGTCATAATTTTTAAAGCTTAAGCCCTACATTATTAACTTTTAAACACTAAGATCTTAGCACGAGTTCAAATGTTTAAAGTATTTATCACCAATGTATAAGTAATATACGGTATAAATACATTAATAAAATAGGGCAATAAAAAAATATAATGCACACTTGTTAATATTATACGGAATCAAGATGATCAACTTTTTTAGAACCTGCACTGCGCTATTCTGTGAAAATCTGAATTGGAATTCACTCAACCTTCAATAAGCTGCATCTGGTCAATCTTAAATTGGAAATAACGTTTCGTGGCATAAGTGAAGTGAGTTTTGAAATAAGATAGGAATAGAATATCTGAGACACGTATAATCAATCGATTTTGTTTTATATTTTTTATACAAAAAATGGAATCAACAGAATTTCTTCACTAAATGACTTTAATTTGGATGAATGAATTCGAATTCGGGTTCGGATTTTTACAAAATCGCCCTACTGTACAGAAAATATGACAGATTTGGACCTTTTCATTGTAGATGAAAATTATTCTACAACTTTCTGTGACTCCGGAATATATTACTTTAAAATTAAAGCTACACATAAAAAAATTATAATTTGAATATTTAAATAACAAAAAAGAGATTTACTTAAGTGTTATTAATATTCGTTTAATTAAGTTTTTATTATCTTGTGCTGATTTTCATAGAAATGCAAGTTATCGTAACAAAATTAAGATAAGGGGGCCAGTCTTTTTTTAGTTTTATTTTTTTAACACCATATTTATTTAATTTTTAATTACGTCCCGTCATACCTAAATAGGGGGAGTTTTATATCGGATCAGGAAAATGCAATCAGAACGTTTTAATAATCACAATCCAGCCATTTTATTCAACTAATAGTTATACGGCTTGTTGCACAATCGTTCATTAGAATTTAATGACGCTTTTAAGCTCTAAGAAATGTCAAATTTGTAATGGTAATGTTGCTTTAAACTAATTACCATTTTAATGGACGTTTGTGCAAATGGCTGATAATGTGCAAAAACTCGTACTAAGAACCTGATTTAAGAAATAACAGCAAGCAACCTCTTCAACATCCAATCAATAATTTAAAACACTAGTATATTGGCAACAGAGATGCCAATACAGACGCCCGCCCAGACACAACTATAGTCTGATATGATTTTATTGTCATAAATGTTACAAACCGGCTATCAAGTCAAGACTATTTCTCATTGTCCATTGTCTTATCATTGCAATTAAGATCTTTTGGCTCGTGGCGAAATTCGGAACTAACGCCGCCATCTTGTAAAATGTCAATTGTTGACAGTCGTCGAGGTATCGATTGTAGTCAGTGTTGCCAGATGCACTATAATTACAGTAAATTTACACAGCTAGCCCAGTAAATTTATTACCTCTCCAACTGGGGCCGAAACTTGATAGTACGCCCTTCGCCCCACTGTTACTGTAGCATTGTATATATATACTAGCAAATGATTGATTGAATGATTTTTTAATCATTAAAAAAACATCTTGGCGAATGGACCAACCTACTTACAGCCACGCCTGATGGCCAGTTTGTAACAATAACATTTATACAAATAATCAACTAAATAAACATCCAATCAATGGAAATGGAAGGGGATAATCATTATTCTCATATTGGACACCTTTTGCGGAAATGACAGAAAACAATATTGGCAAAGCTAAAGTTTGTCTGTATAAAAAAATAACAATGTAAATTTATAGGTACAATTATACCAACTAATATTGTAGCAAAGTGTACAATATGTTACTTCACTCGTGTATTTATGAATTTAAAAAAAACACACTTCATAAAACAATTCCGACAATCTTTTTTTTTTGTTGTCGCTTTTTTTCACATAGAAATTCTGCCAAATTAAAGGAAACATCAGCTATTATGTGTGCTGTGACGTCATACGCAATGTAAAAACGCATTTAATATTGTCGAACCACATTAAAAATTAAAGAATTTAAATTTATACAGACATCCTTACACTTTGATTTACGCAATAAATCAAATAATAAGTAAAGTAAGCCTTTTATTCGGAACTATTTACAAATGATGGTAAAATCGATAAAATAATTTAAACTGGTTATTACATTGTATCCTCTCATTTCCTGCATTGAAAGGGTGGGAAGTAATTGTGTGACACTCATACACATACAAGTTCTCGAATATCAGATCATGAAACACCCACACTATCACTATATAGTCCGTTATTCACTGGCGAAATATCACTTGTCTGGTAATGTCTTTTATTAGGCCAATAAACAGCATATTGTACTTGTGCACTGGTGAGACATATAAAGTTTACAACAAAGGTCGAATTAATTGACTATGAATTAAAGATCGAACATAGCATTTAACTAATATTGTGTCTTTATTATTTAATGAATTTTATATTCACAACACTATCTCAATTTCAGTGATATATTTTTTAGACAAATGCGATAGCATTACAAAATAACAATTGCTTTTATTATGATGTAGTTTTTCCATTACTAAAAATAAAACACACAGATTTAATAATAATCTGCATTTAAAAAAATATATAATTTGTTTTATTTAACCTGTTTAGCAGTAACAGTAAGGCACCACTTCTTCTTGAAAAAGGTTTATGTGTGTGATGAAAACGTTACCGACAATATGAGAACAAAATCAGAGATCCCTTTTGATAATAATAAAACTAGAGTATCACTGTCATATCAAATCTCACCAGTGCATTAACTGTTCATTTAAAACTATCAATTCTTAGAGTCGCCGTCGATATCAACGTCAAACTCCCATCGTTCCTAAAGTAGAACTGTTCACGTTCGTACACCGAACGGTTCGAAGATAACACTCGCGCTAGAATAAATTTACAACCGAAAGTCTAATCGAAAACGGAAACCCGCCGTGCGCTGACAAAACAGTCTTTCACTTCAGACGTCATATTACCACATCACTCACATTACACTAAGATATCTCTAAACGCCGACCGCTGCTATGTTTCGAAACCGTCCGCCGGCAATTCGTAGACGTAATACGCACCTAAGTGCTACGACGCCGATGTGTGCTACGGACGGGCTACGGCGTAGCGGCGGCGTGGGAGGTCGCGGCTGCGGTCGCGGGCTACGGCGCGTGATCTGGCGCGGCGGCGGGCGGCAGCGCGGGAGGGGGACCGTTCGTCCAATGAACTAACGCATGCTGCGGCAGCTGCGTCGCCTATCATTACATCAACGAATATTACACAAAATCCCATATAAGACGAATGAACATGACACTTGTTTAAAATGACATTTGTGTAGTGCAATACAGCACCAAAGTTATTTATTTGGTCGGTCGGTGATGACCAGTGGTCGGAATTAGGTAGAGTTATTCATGTACTTACACTGATTTCATACAGCGAAAGAATAAAGTGCATATGCCTCAAATCCCGAGATTAATTTTAAAGAGCAGAAAATCCCGTGATTTTTTAAATAAAAAGTTATTTACTTTTACACAATTTAAACTACTGCACGCACGACGTTGCCAAACTTACATCAATGACATCGGATGTCCAAAGAATTAGAAATTATCCATTAGAAATCCCGGGAAGGTCCACATTAATATCAACATTTCGATGCAAGTACATAAATAACTCTACCTAATTCCGACCTCTGGTGATGACCCACCGTAGATTTGCGAACTGATGTATGTACTTGTTACAGTCTAGACTGAATAAATGATATTGAGTCTGAATTTCAACATTCACTACTCTCTACCGCATGTCATGTTTCACACAGGCTATTCAATTTTATTGGTGATATTTTATTTAAAAAAAAAAATAATATAATCAATCTTAAGAAAAACTCAAAATTAACAAAAAACCTCCAAGCGTAACGAAAACTTACTAAAAAGTTTATTACAATAACACTAACATCAAAAATAACTCTTTAAAAGTGGAAATCGCAGACTCGTCATAGTAAGATATTGCTACTGAACTCCACCATGCAAGTTTAGTAGAGATTTAAATTTAGGCGAGGCGTAGTGCGGGGTAACGCGGGAAGTATGGTGTTCCGAGTCAGGTGTCATGTTAATTCGTCTGACATGTACGCTGTCCACAACTGACTAACTAAAGCCACTATGGAAATTGGAATCAATTATTACTACCAAAACCCGATACTAAACATTAAGCCGGGAGTCGAACCCAAGAGCTGAGTCAGCGACACCTTCAAATAGACGTGAGAACCAACAAAAAGTAATTATAAAATAACCAGTTCCAGTTGCTAAAGCTACTCTATTTATTCGCAAATAAACAACGGGAGACTGAGATACTTCCTCTATAAAGAATACTTTTCCGACCTCTATGATTTAATGGAAACATATTGAAAGTATGTATAATACCAAATTTTAGTTAATAAGAAATGACGATAAATTAAAAAAGTGGTAGAATTAATCCTTGTATATTACGAATTTTCCATGTTGGCACAGTAGTGTAGCATTCATACCTGAAAATGGTCCTTAAGTAGAGCCTGTGAGAAATTACAGTGCATCTGGTACGCTTCATTCTCTCGTTCCGTGTCACCCGCTAACCGATACAAATCTGCATAATGCAAACAAAAATTATATTTTATAGATATGTATATTCATTTGTAAACTCACCCCGTCTTATTATAAATCAAGTACAACATTTTGTACTTGGTTTAAACCAGTAAAGTCTTAACTTCTTTTTCAGCACAATGATTTATCTCTTCTTAGTTCTCTCCGATAAACAACTAATTCAGTGGCATCCGCATAATTTATATTGTTACAATTAGATAGCAATAAGCGGCAAAAGCTAATGATATCAGATATATAAGAAAAGCGTCGGCCCCAAAACACTACCCTGAAAAACCCTCTAAGGGGAGCTCTGAATCTATGCTGAAGTATTCGCCCACCTTAACACAATGAGATTGAATAGACAAATATTTACTATTATAAACATACCTAGCACAACTAACCTAATACTCATAAAACATTGTAACGTTACAATAAGTGGACCAATACAGCGTCAAATGCTTTCAAAATATCAAGAGAGAAACCATCAACTTTGAATTGGGTAGTTTCGGTAGTGAAATATAAGTCATGAAACGGCATCAAAACTAACATTTACATTGTAATACACATAGATATTGAGATTTTGGGCCATTAAAACGCGTGATTATCTTGAAATAAAGTCGAAATTCTTTGTTAATCTATCACTTGACTTGAAACACAGGATTAGTCTTAAATACATGCCTATTTATGATAGATCAAGTTCCTAGATGGCGCTGTTCTTGCCTTTATATATCTTTCTATTTTTTACCTTTCGTTGTCACTGTTTTGTCTGATTGGCATGCTGTAATTTATTAAATAACTAGCTTTCCGTCAGCGGGTTCTCTCGCGTGGTCTTGTATTATACATAAAAACCTTCCTTTGGAAATACCCTATCTATGAAAAAAAAACCGCATCAAAATACGTTGCGTATATAGGGACAGAGAAAGCGACTTTGCTTTTATACTATTGTTTTAATGTTTTGTGTACATATCAGAATAACGTCATGAATATGGTGGATACGATTTGGCGCAAAAGTTTTATTTCAAGGCAAGATAACATGATTTTTTTTTTCAGAAATACTTCTTACTGTTGTTCAGAAATACTTCTTTTATTTAAATTAAAATAAATACTTTTAAATATTATTTCAAACGGAGTAGAATACCTTATTTGAGATTTATTAACAAATTAAAAGTTTTTTGGGGAAGTATATTTTTGGGGAATATATGTATACCTTTGAGTATTGCAGATGCCCACAGCTGGACGTGTACGTCTGGTATCTTGCTGGCGAGCTGCATGGCCGGTGTTACCATGTTCATGCTCTCGCGGGAGTTGTTTATGGACAGGAATATGTGCCCGAGCAACACCAGGGAACATGACGTCAAACGGTTCAGGTCCTCCGCGTTCGCCATCTTCAGCGTCTCGCGAAGATACCGCCTGATTTAACATTCAATATTAATTATTTTAACTTATGTGATAAATAAAATTACCCTTATTAATAAGTAACACATTTTTTCGCGTCATTTCAATGTCTTTCTTTTTGAATGAAATAGACAAAACACTGTATAACTATGCCGAATTAATTTTTACACCGAATTAATGTGACTAGCTCGATAGCGCAGTGGCAAGTGCGTTCGAACTGCGATTAGGTTGATAAAACAAACTTTTGCAAGGGACGATCATAGAATGGGTGACCAAAAAGTTATTATCTCCAACTTCGCCGTACTTCGGAAGGCACGTTAAGCTATTCGCAATTCGTAGATGCATGTACAGTCGTTAACATCCACCAATCCACACTGAACCCTGGGCAATGAGGGGTAATGGTCCGTTCTCTCTCTTTGTCTCGATTCCATTTATAAGGGAAACCTGTGCCTCAGTAGTGGAGACATTATTAGACTAGTGATGATTATAAAATCCCTAGTGATACTGACTTGGCTTCATTATACCGCGCCTGGAAGAACGCTTGTAACCCCAGTACGTAGTACGATGCCGCCCGCAGACCGTGCGCGTACGCAGGTAACGCTTCTGGCCTCACCTGTATTGTCATAGAAAAAATATAATGCGCGATTCAGACTCGCAATTGGTCGGTTTTTTACCATTTCCATTCAGTATATTGAATCCTCAAAATGTTTCATAATGGCTAATTACTGAAATGTCCAGTTCCCAAAATATATAATTCCTGAAATGTCTAGTTCCCAAAATGTAATAATCTTATATCATGATGAGATTACAACAAACACTGATATAAAATATAGTATCATATCAAGATGGGTTTGCTGAGTACACAGATAAGTAATATGTAGCTATGTAATGTTAGAGAGAGTAATAATTGGACATTTCGAAAAGTAATGGTATTGATATCTTTCCGTTACTGGCAGAGTTTATTATACATATATAGCTGTGCCATAAATACTCGAGAGTGTAACTTTTTTTTACTACATATATTTATCCTTTAGAAAAATATCGTCGTCATACCATACATCTATACCATAGTGTATCTCTAAAAACATTAAAACGGTAATTCTATAGACTGGACTATTATATTTGAATATACTAACCTGTTCCATTAGTTGTGCTAAATCGTTGTCTCTCCTTCCTCGCAAGTATACTATCGCCAAGTTGAGTTTTGCGAACATCCATAAATCTCTCTCTTGTGACATCTGTTAACAATACAACACTAAATATTTTTGGACACCGGCAAAAATAATTTTCCAAATTTGGTAATAGCCTGTATATTTCATTATAGAAAAGACTAAGGGCACACATTTTTTTCATTCGCACAGAACGATAAATTGAGAGAAGCTAATGATGATTATGATGAAAAATGTAACCCTCATTGAGTTTCATGGCAGTTTTTCTCAGTACTAAATACTGAGAAAATCTGATCTCACTGCAAAACGGACCTTACGGACCGAAAGGAGTATTACTCGACATTTGAAAGTGCTTCTAACAGCTACGAGAATATATGATATTAATTAAATGATGTTATTTGAAGTTTTTCTAAAAGATTTCAAAGGGTGCTCCCGTGTGTACTCTATGGCGTAGTGGTTAATGCGTTCGATCTGCTATGCGAAAATTAAGCAAAGGCCCGTCATTAGGATGGGTGATCAAAAATTTGCTAGAAAAGGGAGCATAAAGCCAAAGGACTGTTTCTGTCTATGTTATTGGGCCAGGCGGCAACGTAACAGACATCATCTGAGTATTACTCGACATTTGAAAGTGCTTCTAACAGCTACGAGAATATATGATATTAATTAAATGATGTTATTTGAAGTTTTTCTAAAAGATTTCAAAGGGTGCTCCCGTGTGTACTCTATGGCGTAGTGGTTAATGCGTTCGATCTGCTTTGCGAAAATTAAGCAAAGGCCCGTCATTAGATGGGTGATCATAAATTTGCTAAAAAAGGGAGTATAAAGCCAAATTACTGTTGCTGTCTATCTTATTGGGCCAGGTGAACGTAACAGACATCTTCTGTTACGTTCGCCTGGCCCAATAAGATAGACATCAATGAATATTTTGATTTATCTACTCGCGCTACAAAGCGCTGTGTGACAAAGTGACTTCTATATTTATCGAGTCTCCCCTTTCCGTCTTTCCCCTTCCCTTTTTTTGTAGTAATCATCATCATCATCAGCCCTTTTACGTCCCCACTGCAGGGGCACAGGCCTTCCTTATGGATGGTTAAGGAAGATGGGCCATGACCCTCCACGCTGGTAGTAATCATACTTATTTCCAATTTGAAAAAATGTGATAATTTTGCAACACTAAAAATATATGTATCCCGTTTTGTCCGAGACGAGTATGTACATCAAATAAGGCAATTTTTGTTGAGATTTGACTCCACTACAACGTGTTTATGTGCTCAGTAATGTGACAAATAAATGAATTTAAACGCTCACGTGTATGGCGGTGAGGAACTGCGCCTCGGCGGCCTCCATGCAGTTCATGGACATCGCGTAGAGGCCCAACAGGCAGTGGAGCTGCGGCGTGTGAGCCGCCGCACTGCACGCTGCCACAACAACCATCACGTATTATTACATTTAGTACTAATATTTAGTGAGAGGATAAGTCTAACACTCGTATGCGGCACTGACACTGTTGCCCAAATCTGTCGCCTAAATATTTAGGTATCGCCTAAGGTAAAAGTGCAATTCACCATTGACTAGAAACCGCCTAACGAAATTTAGGGATATCTAAATTTAGGATATGCGTTATGCGGCGCCTTGCGCTAAGTATTTATGTATATTTGAATAAAATTAATCTGCTTAGGCGATTCGTAATATTAGGCGTTTTCTAGTTAAGCTATTTAAAGTATTCATTGGTTTAGAATAAATTGTAATTATATTTTTGCAAAATTAACTTGAGATTAATAATTTGTGCATTTCAAACAGAAACGCGAGTGGCCATGACGGAACATCACGTGACGTCATATTTCAATAAACTAAACTTTAATGTCTTTGCTGCGAGCGCAATCAGTACTCATGTTTTTTGAAATGTGACGTCACGGCTGAAATTAGCAATATACAACAAAATCGGATAGTGGCTTAATATGATTATATGAAAGTTTTAAAACACTTTTCCCTAAATAGTCAAGCAGCCAATTAACATGACGCCCGAGGGCCTTATAATTTAGTATAAAATCATATCCGTGAAAATCGCATGCATCAGAAACAGCATCAGGTCCTACCTCTGTTGCACCATAAATAATCTATATACGAGATTCTTTGGAGTGCCTTCCGGCGTCATGTTAATCGGTACGAGTAGCGAGAGTTTACTCACGCGTGGGCGCCACGGTGAGCAGGTGTGCGGCGCGCGCAATCTCGTGCAGCGCATGCGCCTTGCCGCCGGCGACGAGCCTGCAGAGGGCCGCGTGCTCCACCAGCGCCATGCGCAGCCGCCACGCGAGCGCCGCCCCGCTGCGGGCACTCACGCCCGACGACTCCTCGCTGCATCCACTCGCTGACAACACAACACGGACTACGGTCAACGGCACTCGCTCGACACTAAGGCCTCCTACGCATTAGCGATTGGCCGAATAGGCGGTTCATCCACTCAACGCGGTTTCATAAGCGGTCATAATACGGTGCGGTCAGCCGCGATGAAAGCGCGTTAGACGATTGGACCGCTCGAAGGCGCATAGCTCATAATTAAAATGGACGCTGTCTTGATAGCTTGTGTTATTTATTACTACTCCCGAAAACAAAGAAAGGAAAATAAAAAATACTGGATTCATCCTTTATTAGAAACACGCAACGAATTCCTCTGTGAAGCACATCGGCGGCTCGCCGCAAACTAAAACGCTAGCTAAAAAAGAAAATTAAGACCGGCACAAATGTTCGGTTGAAATTGGTGGTAGCTATGCAAACAAAGAATTACAACACGCCTATATTTTCTTTATATGTATTCCTTTACTTTCTATTTTTTTTTTTTTTTTTACTATCTTGCGGGCCATTTAATTTATGTTAACGATTTATATTTTTCTATTTATATTTACATAACTTCCTACCACAGATAATCTCCAATTGATGCCGCATGAAAGGCTGTGAGCTGTAGTCAAACACCGATGATTCTGCATAGATCGTTTTAACAATAGTAATACGCGTATACGAATCCTCAGGTCGTACCAAGAGTTCGATCTGTGAATATATGCTTTGACGAGAAGACTTTTTATATTTATTATAAAGTAGTTATTACGTTAAACATGGCGAGGTGTAGTGTTAAACGATGTGGAAAAAATTCCAGAACATCTAATTGCAAGACACTTAAAGGTAATTTTATAAAAACGGAAGACGCGTTGATGTCTTCTTGTAACCCATCCCTTTTTTCTCATTACGAAATTTGTACATTCATTTCATTCAATACATGTGTACGTGAACTTTGTTTTTTTTTTCTACTGGGGTTATAAATTCACGTTTTGGTTTGGAATTCAATATCTAAAATGTAATGTTGTTCCTCTATTTTTAATTACAACCTATTAAACATATTTCTTTGTACAAAATTATTTTTTTAAAGTTATTCTCACCGACTGATTAATAGTTAGTTATTTTGTGATCGCGCTCATTGAAACCTTGCCATTGGATGCCTTGTCCATCGATTTGTTTATAGCGCTATAAATTGTTAATTAAATAAAAATAATTATAATAAAATATATTTTAATGACATCTAATACTAACATATAATATCGATCAATTATCGACATGCTTTTAACACATTTTGGTTCCCATCACTACGGAATACGTGCCTTTGTGCTAGCCAATAGCGTCGTCGCAGTCAACACGCCCACCACCTACCTTCTTCTTCTTTATAGCTTCTTTATTTATTTAACAAAATAGTCAACATGCGGTATCTATTGGAGGTTATCTGATCTGTGCTTCCTATTATAAATATAAATGCGAAATTTTATAAAGATAGACGTATGATTGTTATCCAAAAACTACTAAACGTACTTTCATGAAATTTGGTATTGATAAATGTACTGTCATCAAGCGGGCGAAGTCGCTGGCGGAATGTTAGTCTTTTATAATAAAGGTCATAGATTAACAAGGCTTATTTATGTTGTTACTTACACGTTAGCTTGTCGATCTGCGCTAATGCCTTCTCAGTGTACTTATGCGCCTTGTCCATGTAGCCGGCCTGTGCGGAATGCATCACGGTCACCAGATACACTAGCACGTATAACTGCTGCCGCGATAGCCACACGAACGATTCACCGGCCGCGCTCCCACATACAGCTGGACATTACAAACGCACACATACGGCTATATCAAAATTTATATTTTGATCAAAAGTCAATACTCTCTTACTCTAAAAGTTCATCATTGCTAACCTACAACCAGGGGCAAGAAATTATTCATTATTCCTGCTTCAAAAACAAGTTAGTAAAATTGTATTAAAACACATTATTCACTGTTCCATAATAATTCTGATTGGGGAACACTTCTTAGAGAAGATGTAACATTTAAACTTAACTCTTAGACAGTTCACAATTGATATTAAAGGGATGATACTAACCATCATCATCCGGCCACGTGGGTGCCATTATAGTCTGAATGCTCTGCTGTAATTGTTTTAGGCAGGGTTTCACACTTTTCACTTGTCCCGCCATTAAGTAGTGACATACCTAATAATTTACAATATATTCATTATTATTTATTTTGTTAGTGTTTGTATGTTAATTAATATTCAAGTTTTGTGAATCTAAATAACATAAAAAAGTGGGCCAAATGAGTTTTTGGAAGAAAACTCATTTGGCCCACTTTTTTATGTTTTTAAGTCAATGCTGTTAAGTAAGTTTTTAGAGTGATTTATGTATATGACTGAAAATTTGAGAATTATTATGAAGAAAATTATATTAATCTTATTGTTTGAGTAAAGTAATGAGCAGTGGGTATTTTTTTTAATGTAACTCACTTATTTTTCGATTTCATTCTACAAAAAACAGTCAATACTTTCGGTTAGATTAGGTTAAAACTGTTTAGAAATTAGAAATATTTATTTTGTTAGTGTTTATACGTTAATTAATATTCAAGTTTTCAGAATCTAAATAACATTAAAAAGTGGGCCAAATGAGTTTTTGGAAGAAATAAAGTCAATACTGTTAAGTAAGTTTTTAGAGTGATTTATGTATATGACTGAAAATTTGAGAATTATTATGAAGAAAATTATATTAATCTTATTGTTTGAGTATAGTAATGAGCAGTGGGATTTTTTTTATGTAACTCACTTATTTTTCGATTTTATTCTACAAAAAACAGTCAATACTTTCGGTTAGATTAGGTTAAAACTGTTTAGAAATTTTCAGCTCTTGTTACGTATGTTCTTCTCAAAGATCTAAATCGCTCATTGATCGAAAAAAATCACAACGCTTTGTGGCAATCGCAGAACAACCACATAGCGAAATCCGTATTGTGGCTAACATATTATTTGACTTCAAACAATTGCGGCAATGAAGAAAAGCCAAGACGCGTTCTAAGCATTAATTGGTTAACAAGCTGTTTAATTTTACAATAGCGATTCACTTCTGGCGCTTCGCCAACGGCTGCCGCGGCACGCTCACCTCGTGCGTTTTTTGTCATACTCTAACCCAGCCTTTCCCAAAGTGGGCGAAAGCGTCCCCTTGTGGTAAGAGGCCCAAAAAAATAATTGAGGCGTTGTGTAGAAACTTAAGAAGAGTTAACAAAAGACTTGTGTACTGCCTACTGCGCTCAGGTATCAAGTTAACTCTCGTGGGTTATAGTAAGTCTCGTTTAGAATGTTTATTTAATCTCGGCTAATGTAGCTCACAATAATGAATTTCATTACAGTGATTTTAAAAAGGTGAAAATCTGGGGGCGTTAAAAATAATTTATTCCCAAAGTGAGCAGTAAACGAAATAAGTTTGAGAACCCCTGCTCTAACATAATCAAATATGGTTCAATATGCTTCATGATTTTTCTTCATTGCCACAATGGGTTGTGGTCGAACAGCATGACATCCACGACACGGATTTCGCTATGTGGTAATTCTGTGAATGCAACAACGCATCATGAGCGATTCCATAAGAGATATAATAAGAAATTTCGCTATGTGGATATGTTACTGTGACTACAACGCGTTGTGAACAATTTTCAGCTCAATGAGCGATTTCGATCTTTGAACGTTATATGAACACTCCAATATAACATGTAGTTTCAAAGTACCCTCCTTTATAACAAAATAATCCATTAGATACTGGATTTTTAAAAAATGCTTTCAGACTAGAGTTAAATCGATTGAAGTTTAGTGAATAGTATATGTTCTTATAGAAAAAAGTAGATGTACCTGTAACACGAGGAAGAAGACTTTAAGATACTCTTTCTGGTGCAAACTGCCTGCCCACGAGTCTACCAGATGTCCTGCCTGGTTGAGCAGTGGTAACACTTCCTGAATTTTCTTGTCTATTAGCAGCAACTACAAGCAAGTATTTCCATGTGAATTTTTATCTACATTCATCAGCTAATATTTGTATTAGATATCCAGTGTAAACTCCACATAACGTCATTCGATTTAACGACAAACTCTCTAAATAGTCAAAATCAATGGGCTTTGATTTAAAAAGATGTGCAAAAGTTCCCACCAAGAGACAAAAACTTTACTTCTTGTTGACAATTGCCCTGCCCACCAGTAACATGTAGTTGGCGTCTCTTACTCCAAATACGACTAGTGTCTTACAGCCAATGGACCAGAGTGTGTAGTAGGAAATTATTGATGGAGCTAACCGATTTTTTTTTATCTAAAGCCTTGGAAGAAGTGCCACCCACAACTATACAGCACTCTTTTCGACATGCTGGACTTTGTACCAATTTTACGATTGATGAGGTGGAAACAGAACTTGAGTTTGATAGCGACGACGACCTCCTGAGTGAATTCAACAGTGCAACATGGCAGGAGATACGGTAAATCTTCAATCCTACATCGATGTAGTCGACTGCCTGATTACAAAGGCTTCACTCACTGACAAAAAAATTTTGGATTCAGTGAGAACAACAAGGAAATGAAGAAGATTAGACTGATGAGCCTGAGCCACCGCCGGGCATTAAAGAAGCTCTAGTAGCAGCTAAATTATTAGAAAATTACTTCTTTTACCACCAAGATGCCTCAATATGCCAAGATATGGATAAAATAATTTAAAAAATACAACAAAATTACTGGTGCAGCAAAAGACGTCAGACAAAAATAACAGACTATACGCAATAGCGTCCAAATAATCATTTTATTACGTACATAACTTCTAACTATAGTCTGAAATAAAGTTTTCCTTTTTCTAATTCTGATTTTTCTTCTCTCTATTTAATGGCAACTTTCCATAAAGCCATATAATGAACAGTCCCTTTAGTCAACTATATAACTAGTTTACACTGTATGTGATACTTTCCCAAGAGCTGATGTGGCAGTGTTTGTGCCATTTGTTACTAGTTTTCCAAAATAGATAGGGATGACGACAAGATAAATAAATTTAAAAAAAAACTTTTTTGGTCCATCAGGCAGATAATAGAAAAATATTAGATACATATTTTTTACTTCAACTTAACAAGTGCTTTAATAACAGCATTAAAGCTAAGGAGTGGGAACTCGCTTTGTTACAGTTTTGTAGAACATGTACAAAATCGTGACTTTATGTGACATTTTAATTGGATATATCGCCATAATTTAGAGATTATGGAAAAATTTAAAATTAAGTGTTTAATATTTTTCAACAACCTACCTGACGGTCAAACAAAAAAAAATTGTCATCAACCTTATTATAGTCTGTGTCACCCACTTATGATGTAGCTCCCCATAGGTAAAAGAATTATTAAAGTTGGTCCATTAGTTTAAGAGCTTATTCAAATTTAAATTTTTTGACCAACAAAAACAAGGAAGCAAGTATATTTAAGAGAACTTGTGGTTGTAATAAATAGTGAATAATAAACTATGACATACAAAGTAAATGCTTTTTTTTTTATGGGATGGGGGCAGACGAGCAGACGGATCACCTGATGGTAAGTGATTACCGTCGCCCATGGACACCTGCAACACCAGAGGGGCTACAATCGCGCTGCCCGCCTTGGAGGAAAGGGTTGAGGGGTAGAGGGAAGGGAATAAGGAGGGGTTGGGCCTCCGGTACCCTCACTCACACGACGAAACACAACACAAGCGTTGCTTCACGTCGGTTTTCTGTGAGACTGTGGTATCACTCCGGTCGAGCCGACCCATTCATGCCGAAGCGTGGCTCTCCCACGGTTATTAATTTATATCATGAACACAAAGATCAATGTAATATTTTCGATAAGACTTTGCAGTTTAGATAAGATATGCTTCAGACAACTCATTTAGCATTTTATGCTCCCACTGTAACTAGCACAGTCATCGTTGGGTTGTTATACTTTCTAACATAAACAATATTAATTTGAGCCAGTGCTTACCATTACTCTACTGAGTAAAAAGAGTACCCTGGTATATGCAGCATTGGATATCTGTGCATAATCCACACCAACACCCAGTAAACTACTTGCGACTTCATACTCCCGCTCTGTTGCATGAATTTGCTAAAACAACACAAACCAATGTTATCAACATGTTTACAAAACATGATAAAAAACCATTATAGCAACTTCACATTTAATCACATTCACATTTAATGGGCAATATTCATATTACATGCCATCAATTTATTACATAGGATGATTTTTGACAGATTTTACTTATTCTTACAGATGTGTAAGAAAAAATATGCATTCATCATACCTTTCCCTTCCCCTTTTAATAGTTATTGTGTAAGACTAGCTGTGCCCGTGACTTCATCTGTGTACTTACTTTAGGTAGTAAACTAATTTACTCCTTATTAAATAAGCTATCTGCCAGTGAAATTCCTATCAAAATCGGTCCAGCCATTTCAGAGAATAGCAGGAACAAACAGACAGACAAACATATATGTACTGTGTAAAAATACATATAAATTTAGTAAAAAAAAAGTGGTAACTTTAACATTACAAATAGACACTCCAATTTTACTTATTTGTATATATATTTTTCTTCTGATCTTACATAAAAATCATATCATATAAAACATATTATGATTGAAGTTATTATAATCATATGATTATATTATAATCATGACATAAACTGACTTTGTTTATGAAATAGTTCTAGATATGAAATCAGCTGTTAGTTATATACAAAAATAAGAACATATCATGTAAAAGTTTTGTAATGTCTACTCTCTTATTTACATACAGAAAATAAAAGCACAATTTCAATGTGACAAGAGATCTTAATTAAATATTTACAATAATAGTAGAAATGTATTAGAACATATCAAATCAAAAGTTCCTGGATTATATAAACAAACTAAATGCCAATAAGAAAATAAAATTGAAAAAAGAGAAAGTAAACAAAGTGAAAAGTTAAAACATTGAAGATATTTAAAGGATTATAAAACTTCAATACTTACAGCCAATTGGAATATTAATCTACAATGCCAATATACACTATGCTGTGACAATTCAATTGCTTTCCGTAGAATTGGTTTAGAATGAGTTGGCTGGCCTTGCTGCTCAAACAACTCTGCCAGTACACTTGCTGCTTCAAACTTGACATCATCAAATCCGTTTATCGTCTGAGACAGACACCACTGTAACCAAAACACTACATTGACCCATTTCAATATCACTGTTTACATCCCATGACACTTTTCAATAATATACCGTTACATTTGTATGAAATGTTAACATGTCCCACAAGACACTTCTAATTAGTTCACGCATTTTCAAATTCAAAAACATTAGAAAAAAACTTACACTCTGCTCTAAATGCGTCCTCGCTAAGTCGATGTTTTTAGTGTGTGTCAGAAGGATATTACCAAGTTGTAAATGAGTTCGGGCTTCGACCCTTTGTGGTGGTTTGAAATTGAACACGGCTTGTAGACACTGAATACAACTTTTTATGTCAGGAGGATTTGATGTACGGAAATGTTCTGCTAAACCAAGTAAAGAAATATACCAAGCGTCCTGCGTTGACGCCATTTTGACATTTCTGCTTGGTTGGTTTTTTTTTTTCGTAGTAAAGTAGAGGTTATGATTTGCTGGCTGTGGCATCCTGGGCTTTTGCTTAACGTTGAAGCCATAGGTTGAAGACGTTATAAAGTGGGCTACATAAATTTTAAAAACCAAAATTACTATTTTCCCATCTGTCAAATATAAAACAATAAGCAAAATTAATTCTTTAATATAAAAATTTATTGGACTTTGAAGTCGTGCGCACTAGAATAATTTGGGTTGCCAATCTCAGTTTTCCCAGGTAGGTCTTGATTTTATTGTGTATTCCATTTCTTTTCTTTCAAGTATTTCATTACAAAATTCCACGGGCCCCCAGCTGGGGCCCTTGGTCAGAGGAGACTGGTTATCCTGACATTTGTTGTTACGCAATTAGTCAAAAAATTTAATATCCGATGAATTTGCCACGGGCCTCAAACAGCATAGTTACATAAGTGCCATTGATTCCATAAGTCGACTTAAAATCAATATTATAAACATTTATACACTATAAAGTGACGAACTCCAATGTGTGAAATTCCATAATCGTATTTTCTATAAATCGTTCACAAAATCGAATTGTCAATTTTCAGAACAATCCGCATATTGACTGCAGAAGAAAAAAAAGATAGTTACAAAATTTTATACAAATGATTTTTAAACTATAAGTCACGTGACCGCAAACAAGAATTTCTTCATGTAATGGCTATTTTGTGTTAATAATGTCATTGTGCAAAATGACAATATATTTAAATTATTTTTTATGTATTTATGACAGGATCATCGCCATCTTTCATTCGTTTCATTTTCATTTTACATGAAGAAATTAATTTATTCACTTGGCATTGGCAGAATTGTACAAAAAGCAGATAAGCCATCAATAAAAGAAGAAGAAGAAGTATGTATGACACTATGGCACTAGTATGACCAGTATGACACCCATGGAGTGTCTGACCGAAAGTTCGGTTTCAGTTTCGGTAAAGTTTCGGCAAGAAACGGGTTTCCGTTTTGTTTCGGTTTCGGTGGCAAGCCTGCCGTTTATGTTATATTTAATATTTTTTAAATCATCAGAAATTTTTGTTTTTTTTGTTGTCATGATCCATTCTGAAACATTCCCATTATAACCATATCATTAGGGCGCTTGTGCACTACACTGAATTTTCAGGTCCGGCGGTCCGATTTTTTCCGGTCCGGAATGACATGAAAAACTCGGATGAGTAGCTTGTGCACTTGTCCGTTTTTTTCCTGATCGGAGCGGCGCAGTGTAGTGCAGCTCTCTTTGAAGCTACACGTCACTTACGCTAGGTACGATGAGATTTTTGGAACGTCGGTAATTCCGTTCGAAGACGTAGAAAGGTACCTAAATAATGATCTGATCGTTTTACATAAACTATAATAAATTATGGCAAGACGAAAGCATTTTTTTTACTACTATCGAATGACTACTATCAGATGTAAAAACTTATACCCTTACTAATTTAGGAACAGCATTATTCACATACAATAGCTAAAAATATCTGTGACATTAGAATAAAATTACTGATAATGGTCTAGTACTTGATGTTTAAATTTTTTAAAGCGTGCAATTTTTTTCGAAGTTTTGTAAAAACAACTTTCAGCGATTACAGAGATAGACCAATCGGTGGCGCCATTTCGTAAACAAATCGAAATTAGTGCCGTGTTAGCGGAGAATTATTATGATAAATGAACTTTACGAGATCAGTTGACTGTATTATATACAGGCATAATTTTATACGCGTGGTGTAGTTTCTTTGAGCAGAAATATTATTAGCTTAGAATACTTCTTTTTTAAAATTTATTAATGACACAAACATACATTAAAAATTTTATTAAATGCGAATAAGACATTGAGTGTCACTTAATTACTTTTGTTAATCTTCTGTTTATTCTTTATTATTAATTCTGTTGTCAAATATTCATCTATACTTATCAATTGTCTAAAAAAAATTTGATAATAACAAATTTCCAGGCAAACTGTCATCCCCTATTTTTCTCGATAAAATGTAGCCTATGTCCCTTCGTAAAGTTAAGTCTACTTACTATATTAATTTCCATTTAGATGGGTTCAGTTGTTTAGGCGTCTAAGCGTAACAACACTTATTTATCTTACCTTAAGCTATCGATACTTTTAATACGATTCTAAAATCTAGCTAAGTATCGATACTAGAACCATACGCTGATCAAATTAGAACTATACCGAGTTTGCCAAAGCATATGCAGTGATATATACCAACTATATTAAATCATCATATAAAATATAGCATTTTATAATCAACAATAAATATCGATTATAAGTTTATTGGAAATTAACAAAAATTGCCGAAATAAATATCGATTCAAATCGATAATTTTTTCCCAAGCCTATTCCTTATGAATTTTCCGGATCTCGGACACAGCAGTGCACAAGCGTAAACACGTTTTTCATTGCCGCCATCACGGACCTGAAAAAACCGGTCCGGAATAGAGAAAAGTAAAATTCCGGACGGTAAAATTCCTGACAGTGCACAAGCGCGCATTACTTACATATGGTCTGACATATCGGACCTGAAAAAATCGGACCGCCGGACATGAAAATTCAGTGTAGTGCACAAGCGCCCTTAGTGCTGAACATACTGTTCAGCTAGTTCAATATAATTCTAATTGCTGTACCCGCGACTTTATCCGTATGGTTAGGTTAGCCTTAGGTTTTTTACTCGTGGCTCGTTGCGATGCAATTCGATATCGGTGAGCGATATCGCACGAATCGCATGCCCTTATAAAATGTATGGAGAATCGCTAGTGTTTACTCATGAGATTGAACAATCTGTCAATATCGGTCACAAATCTCATCGACATCGAATTATATGTACGTACTCATGGTCTGCGATATCGCTTCAAATGTATGAAGGCGGTAGAATTTGATTTTCTGTTCAGTAATTTCGAGGAGCGATTCAGTTGCGCAATCTTACCATACACACAGTGGCGTAGCTACCACGGGGCTAGGCGGGGCAGTGCCCCGGGGCCCTCAAGCTCAGAGGGCCCACGAATCTTTACCAGAATATCTCAATAGAACTCAACTTTGGAAAATTTCTCCCATTTTCAAATTAAATATGACAGGTGACAACTCGAGTTTAATCATGGCAACTCAGTTGTAAAAAATTCCAAAGTTATAAAAAGGGAATTCCTCTAAATTATTTGTGTGGGTTGACAATGTTATTAATGTTTTCATCAATTTGTCGGATATCAATATCTGCATATTATTATTTATTGATATGCGGTTGTGATTCGCGATTGCAAACTTCGAGTCAAGATTTTTTTTCGAATAGTGTATCAGGAGTAAGTAAGCGTATGTCAATAAATTTTTTGTACTGGTCCATACAAAAGTTCAATTTTATTTGATTGTAGTACGTATAGATAGTTACGTTAAAAAATCTATAGATTTCGGCTACTCACTATATAACTCAAAATACCGTGAAAAATAGAAGTCACATGGGGTAGGGGGCCGTCCATTAATTACGTGATGTTTTTTTTGTCATTTTTTAAACTGTCAAATGTAGTAACACTGGCAGCGATAAAATGTTTGCCGGGGATTCCCCAACGGCGTATCGTATCATTACGTTTCGCTTTCCTTTTACTTGTAACGTTGTCAGTGAACAATGGGTACCTACTTGAGAACAGTCTTACATAAATAAATTAGAAAACTAATATTATGGAAAAAAAACCCAGTGGGGCATTTAAACGCAAACAACGCTAAGAAAGAGAAGAAAGTAAACAAAAATTGCCCAAAATTGTCAAGTTTTTTAGTCAGCCTTCTGCAAGTACTTCTGGACAAAATATTTCTATTGATAATTTTTGTAAATAGCTGGCATGGCCATAGGTTAAAAATTTTACTTTATGTTGTTAGTGTTTAATAGTTTTATTACCTGCCCATGCACGAATAAGAGTTAATGATAAAGTTGCTTAGCATTATACAAAAAAATTATTTGTATACTTAATGATTTTACTTCAAAAAACCTTACCAGTTTTGATAGCAGTGGGCCTCATTTTTTTATTTGCCCCAGGGCCCTAGGTTACCTAGCTACGCCACTGCATACACATCAAAATATATTCAATTTTACAAAAACATACGGCAATGTCCCTCCTATACCTATAAATAACTGAAAAGCCCGATTGTACAGTGGTTAGCGCGTTTGATCTGCGATTGCGAAGGTTAAGCGACTAACGCAAAGGCTCGTTATCGGTGGGTGACCAAGTTTTATTACACGTTACTTACTAAACAAGTATGCGTGGCGCATATAACAAGAGCCTTTGCTAACGACGTTTAATCTTCGTAATCGCAGATTAAGCGCACTAACTTTAGTACTAATGGTATACATAGAAGAGAAGAGAGCAAACCCCGGCCATACGCCGCAGCGCCAGTCCCACCCCATCCCGCTCAGTCCAATAAAATAATTTGCCTTTGCGAACGTCATTTAATCTTCGTAAACGCCTGTTCCACTCCAACCCGCTCAGCCAAATAAAAAAAGCACCTATCCGATGACCGGCCTTCGCAAAAGTCGCTTAATCTTCACAATTGCAGATCAAACGCGCTAATTAATTGTAAAATATATTGAATTTAGAAAAAGTTGTTTGATATACGGATCTCCGATAAATCAGTCGAATGAGGAAGTATTTTAAAAAAGCCTATTTACTTCCCTCTATTTTAAAAAATCAAACTAGATGTCGCTACGGTACTTTCTTGGTTTATCTTTGACAACTCTTCCGGTTTTTTCCGGGACAAATTAATTTTCAATACTCAATAAACAACTTATATTATTCTATTTGTACATTTTCGTATTTGTATTGATATCTAAGTTTCGAACTGTGCAGATTTTTTACATGTTAGTTAAAAGGAACGGGAATGACCGGCTTTGGTCCATTCGTTTCCTGCAAAAATCAACTTTTGCTTGAGTCACCATCTAGTGAGATTCTTTTTTAGTGCTTTCTCTTTT